TTTATAAGAACCAAGAAATTGTCATTTGTTAAAAATGCCAACATTACTTTAAGAGGATAGCACAGGTCAGGAAGCTTATGGCAAAAGGACATTCTGCTGTGGGACATGCCATAAGGCCACAAGCTGGGTGGACTCCAAGTAGGTGGAAGGGAGAGACCAGGAATCCCTGGCCCGTGTTATACCAGGCAAGTCATTACTCTATGCAGGGCCTCTTCCCCCACCCCTGCCTCTGCCTCCAGTCACCCAGCTGGCACCGGCCACTAGCTCCTGTGCCCACCGCTGCCTGGAGCCCTGCCCCCACCAAACACTCACAAAGCCCTCCCTGCTCAGCACCTGCCCCCACCCCAGACCCAGGCCCATGGTAGGCAAGCCCCTGGTGCTCCCCACATTGCTCCTGGGGCCCTGGACCACCTCCCTGAATCATTCAGCCCTCTTGATCGGAACTGCCTGTTTAAGGTCTGCATTTTCCAGAACTCTCGGCCCATTCTGCTTGTTCTTTTTTCCATTGCACCTTTTGCCGCGAACACACTATTATAATTTACTTATTATATGTATGTGGATTGGCTATCTCCCCTAATTAAAACGTAAGCTTCTCAGCCATATCACTCATCTGATTTGTTCACTGAAATATCCCAAGTCCTGAGAACAGTGCCTGGTTAGTAAAAGCAGCTCAAGGAGTATTTGTTGTATGAAAAAAGTAAGTCATTTCCCTCATTAGACTATCTGCTTCTTGAGAGCAGGAAGTATCTTAATTCTATAGCCCATGTGGTGGGCAGAGTAATGCCCATGCCCCTCAACCAAGGATGTCCACATCCTCATCTTTGAGGCCTGCGAATATGTTACCTGACATGATAAAGAAGAATGTGCAGATGTGATCACAGTAAGGACATGGGGATGGAGATGCCATCCCAGCTGGATAGGCCTGGATAATTTTGGTGGGTCCAATGTAATTAGAAGGACCCTTAAAAAAAAGGAGTAGGAAGACTGGCAATTTGCCCCTGGAAGCAGAGGTCAGAGTGGGTGGATGTGAGAACTTAACCTGCCATTACTGGCTCTGAGGATGGAGCAAGGGAGCCTTGGGTCAGGGAATGCAGGTGGCCTCTCAATGCCAAAAAAGGCAAGATAGCAATCCTTCCCAGAAAGACTGTAGCTCTCTCGACATCTTGATTTTAGCACAGGAAACCACTGCAGACTTCTGACCTCCAGAATTGTAAGCTAATAAGTTTGTGATGTTTTAAACCATGTTTGTGGTAATTTGTGGCTGTGGCAACAGTAAATTAACACACCAGAGACTGAACATACTGTGTTGCTCAGCAAATGCCTGCTAAGTGAGTGCCTGTCAACCATAAATACAATGCTACTTAGAGTCTAAAATAAAATTTAGACCATGAGACCATCCACGAGTGATTTAAGTCACGAGCCAATAGTGATGACTGTTGCTTGTTGCTGTTATTATTTTCTTCGGTTTTTCTTTTCTTTCAATTTAACTAACTAATTTCGACTCAGAGATGCTCATGACAGCATTTCCTGTACAGCTAGCTAGGTCTTCCATCTACCTTGTCAAGCAGTTCTATTCATCAAATACACATTTCCTCCTCGTAAAACCTTAACACAAGATTTAACAATGACAATAAAATGAATCACCTTATTTAATGAAAACTGTGAAGTTTAACACACACACACTTAGTTGCACTCAAGTTCTCATCTGGGCCCTTCTGCCAGGCTGGAGCGGGGTGCGCAAGCATGATTCTGATTGTTTGGAGATGCTTGGGCCCCATGAATCTATTTTTAATGCTGATACTCAAGAAAAGAGAGAAAGTGACAAGAAGTCATCGATGACACATTTCTGCATCCAACAGAATTTAAATGGTCTCAATTATGGGCAAAATCTTTTCCCTGTCTCTTTAAACAGCAAGAGGCAAACAGATTTTTCACACCTCTCTTCTCTCCAGCACTGCCAGCCACCCATCAGCCCTGCCATTACTCTCATCCCAGAAGCTGAAAACCCCAAAAGACTTGGGATTAATCACTTTCAGTTATTAATGGATTTTGATATGTAAGATTATTTTCAATTAACATTAGCAAATCAAAAAATTTATAAAGAGTGTATATCTATTGGTTTTTATGAGAAATACATTTTGAAATTTTTAACCATCCAGGAGCAACTTACATACAATGCTGAATTTGTCTTGTTTTTGGCCTTGTGGAAGATGTATATAAAAGAGATATAAAAAGATCTCAAAATATGCTATGGCATAGTAACTTGAAACATTGTTCTGCAGTACACATCAGATACTTTATGAGTATTATGAGGCATTCTTGCTTTTTTCTGACAATTCTGATTTATAGTATACAATTGAAGAACTGAAACCTCCAACACAGTCAATTCTATTTCATAATGTTTATTGAGCGCTACTCTGTGTGATGTTTTGGGTTGGAGGAAGAGAAAGCCCCCAACATCAAAGTCCCTCCCACAGGAGGAAAAGCTTTCCTCTTTCCAAATGGTGCACCAAGGTTCACGTTTCAGTGCTTCAGCACACTTATTAAGCGTATTTAATTTCTTGACCGAAAAACCCTAAACCAGAGTTTAATTAAAAGAAAAAGGTTGAAACCAACTTTTCTAATAAATACAGCTATATTTTAATTTAAACTACAGGACAATGGAATTCACAGGGTGCCATTTCACCTGGGAGAGCCTGGAACACCTCATTTCCTTTGCTATAGGAGTGGCGCTTAATGTCTGTCCGCCCATCAGTCTGTCCACCCACTCTCCTCTCTACCACCGTGAGCAAGGTGCGAGGCCAGGCAGACAAGAAATGGCCAGGACTTACCCCTCCTTGGGTAACATTTCCAAATGTAGTTCCCCACGACTCTCTGTGTAAAACAGTACCACTCTTTGCTGTGTTTGCAATAAGAAAGGAGCTCCTTGGAAGGGTGGCACTGTTTTCTGCTCCTGCAAACACATTCAGCTTGTCGACACTGGTCGTTTCGGATGCTTATCTGCCTCATCCCTTGTTGTTGTTGTCAGTCTAATGCCTCAAAGCATATCTAAGCTGTAACCCAAACCCTGCGACCTCATGTATCACTGCATTGCCTGTGAGGCTCAATAAATCATGTTCCCCAGCAGCAGCAAATCAATCTAGTTCTTAGAAAGAAGATGCAAGTCACAGTCAGAGGCACCTTTCTGCACTCTCAAAAGGATTTCACGTGTATGAAACATCCAAGGTCCTCCTGATACCACCCCAGAGAGACCCTTCCTAAAGTACCGGGTCCAGCTGGGGACTCCATATGTCGAGATGCAAATGAGGAGTTTCAGAAGAGATTTATAAGACGATCTGAAGATTGCAACCTAGTAAACACCGAGAAAAGCTACAAAGGTACTTAGCCTGGAAGCATATGAATCTTTTCTCAGCCAACGCAGATACCAGGTTGCTACAGACAGAAACATCCTCCGCCTACTCTCCCAGCTCGACTCCTGAGAGAAACCACACTGCAGAGGAGGGATTTTAGGACACGCGATGCAAACATTCATCTAGATATGCTAAGTCTTCTTGGAAGATCAAGAAACCTAAGAGTTGAACCAGAATGTATGAATACCCCATAGAACAACTTGGCCTGAATTTCATGCTTTGCATTGGGTCCTCGGCACAGTCAGGGGACAGTTGTGGAGACAGCTCTGGGATGTCCCCTTCTTGCTCATCAGGTCACCAGGGACACATCACTCAGGCATCCCTATGTGAGTGCCTAATTAAGAAATATCTTGTTTGTTAGTGCCAAGAAAAGCTAACTTCTTTCCTGAGTTAACTGTTCAATGTCTTTATTTTTTCTGTTAAAAAAATTCAGCAGATTTAGTCAATTTCAGGTAACTCTAGTAATACACACCTCTTCCTGGTCTCTCCTCACACGTCAGAGAAATCTTTCCCAACAACCCTTTACAAAATCACCCCAACCCACACTCCTAAACCCCACTCCTTTCCTGCTTCCCTTGCTTAACTTTTCTCCTGGCATTTGTTTACCATCTGACATCCTTTACATCGTACTGGTTTATTCGAGCTTTATCTTTTCCCCACTGGAAAGTAACCCTCATGATGGCAGATACTGGTTCTCTCCTAGACCCCAGCAAATAGAACCCTGCCTGACAACAGCAGGCACTCAGTAAATACCAAATGAATCAATACAAGGGGCTAACTGTGAGAAACCCTATGGTTTGCATTTCTATTTTCTCTGTGAACTTGAACTCTGATTTCAGATTACATATTTCCCTGGTTTTGATGCATTTACTGTTTTTGTTTTCTGCTTTTAAAGTATTTGTGTAGGCCAGCTAAAATCTTTTGTAAAATGAAGCAGGAGGTAGCAGATAGAGAGATAGGCGTAAGCAGATAAAAAAGATGACCTAATTATCAGACACTTTGCATTTTAACAGATGGTAAAGTCTCTACTGAGGATAGAAAAGGAAATGAGCCAAGCAGATAAAGGATTAATTAAGTGAAGCAATCTTTATCCCAAATTGATCATCTCTTCCAACCAGAGCAGTACCCTGCGTTGATTGGATCAGGGGTTTACTATGTAGGAAAGCCAGTCCATGAGGACATCCTCCTGGCTTCTCTGGCAACCCCCATGCATCCTACTAGCTTAATTTACTGATGGGGCCTTAGGCACTGAGGGTTGTTTTCACCAGAGATGTGTCTCAATGGTACACAGCATGCTCATTTCACTCTGGGATTCTTTGAAAGAAAATGAATGAAGACTTTCCAGAATTTTTTCTTTTTAAATATACTACACCTCTCCCCCAAACACTTCCTGACATCACCCCAGTATAGAGATAGAGCTACTGAAGAAGCACTCCCATGAGATCTGAGGTAGAATAAGAAAAGGCATGGGACTAGACCCATTTCATTCCAAGTTCGACCTCAGGTAGGTTAAAGACTTAGAAACACATGGAGGAGGAGAGAAACTGACTATAAGACAGGGATGAATACCAACAAAAGGAGGGTCCCTACCTGTTTAACCACAGTCACTGTCCCTGGTGCCATGGCAACCACTGAGGCAAGGGCAGTGGCATCGTGGGTCTCAGCACCCAGCTCAATGATCTGCTGCAGGATGTTCACGGCCGTGGGGTCCAGTCGGTCGCCTTAAAAGGAAGAAACAAAGAGGACATCATTCAGGCCACTGGTGCTACAGGACATGGAATGCAAAACCAGCTCCTCTGTTCTCCTGGGTGACGCCTTCTCCAGAGGATGCACTGGCTCTCTGTAATCTTGTTTTCTGCTTTTAAAGTATTTGTGTAGGCCAGCTAAAATCTTTTGTAAAATGAAGCAGGAGGTAATAGATAGATAGACATAAGCAGATAAAAAAGATGACTTAATTATCAGACACTTTGCATTTTAACAGTTGGTAAAGTTTCCACCGAGGATAGAAAATAGAAATAATCTGTCTGGTGCATGATAGCTTATAAAGCATTTTCCATAAGAACATCTCAAAACTCCAAGCAACCTGTGAGGATGGGACATTGAGATGTTATTTTTATTTTGTAGATTCCTCATTTGGACCACTGGGTCAGATGCACCACAAAGCCAGAACTCGAACCTACATGCTCTGAGTCCTAATGTGGGGACACAAGGCTGCCCTCAAAGTGGAACTCCTGAGGAGTGCCAGCCAGGCAGACTCAGTGAAAGTGTGTGCCAAGAAATTCCACAAGTTATAGGCGAAACATCCAAGGATGTCTCAATTATTCAACCAGTGGGCTTTAGAACTCCAAACCAACTGAAGCTGAAGGTTCTATTTTAATCATCTCTAAAGACTGGACTCTGTATCATCAGGGTAGCTATTTAGTATCCCCACCTGCTCCCACCATCTGCCAGGCCATCTGCCGTCCTGAGCATACCCTGACCCTGATCATTAATTTACTAAAAGAGAAATGACTGCTTGATCTCCACCTTAGCATAATATTATGCAGTCTCTGCCAACATTTTCATCCTCATGGGCAGCTTTTTGTGGGCCATGTTCCAATGTGAGTCAATCAATAAGAGATCAGAGAAAGGGGACTCAATGTGTCTCACGCAGAAGGTAGGACATGCCGGTGGCTGAGGCGGTGGCCAGCTACATTCACAATGCATCCCCTGGCACCCACCAAACACACGCACCTTACGGGGAAATGGTGCAAATGTACTTTGCAACCAATCACTCTGAACGTGCAAGGTTCTAATTCCACTTCCATGGACTCCCTCAATGACCATTTACCAAGCCCTGGGAACTATTGCTCCTGATGAGAAAACAAAGCCCTAACCCTCCCCCCTCACCCCCCACCTCCTCTCAGGGCTCACAGGCTCCTGAGTCAGACTGTAAGCAAATCATGACCGTACCTGGCAGGTCCCATGTCAGGAGTGCAATTAGGGAACAGTACAGGAAAGTGAGGGGGATTCTCAGGAGGTGGCCTGCAGTCTGAGTACTGCAGACGAGAATGAGTTTGACAGAAAAAGGCTGTGATAGAGAAGAACCCAGGCTACACCCCAGGGAGCACTGGAGTGTGTGTTCCTTCTGAGAGCTGTAGATCTGGCCGAGGGCAGCACAGCCCAGGGGTGGGATGGCCAGAGACACAGACAAGGCCAGGCAGGAGCCAAAGAAGCTGAGCCTGGCCTTTTCAGCTGCACAATTAACAGCTAGGAAGAGACACCATCGGAGGGCCTGAGGAGAAGTGACAGTGTGAGTGAGCCTGAGAGTGACAGTGAGAGTGTGTGTGTGTGTATGTGTGTGTGTATGTGGTGTGCGGGGCTGTGTTTGTGCATGTATGTGTGTGGTGTGCGGGACTGTGTTCGTACACGTGTGTGTGTGTGTGTAGTGTGCAGGGCTGTGTTTGTGCATGTGTGTGTGTGTGTGTGTGTGTGTGTGTGTGTGTATGCTCATAGGGGATGAAGACAGACAGGCTGCATCTTGCAGGTCCTGAGCGATCACTGATGTCACTGAACATCACGGAAGGAAACTCAAGTTGTGACAAGACCTCGATGCTGAGAGCCACATTTAACAGCCTGGGCCTCAACTCTTCCGGCTGCAGAAGTGAAGGTGCCGCCTCCTGCATTCTCTGCAGCTGCACAGGCAGTGAACACAGCCCTGCCAATTAACCTTCCCTAAACCGACTGGCCCACAGGAGTTTGCGGTGCAGCTTCCTTACGATCTGGAGTTTGGGGATTTCAGAACTGGGCAAAAATAGTGTCTTCCTGACTCCTATTTCCTATCACCATTTCTTTTCACCTAATGCTTCCCCTTTAACCGAACTTGCTTAACCTCTTCCCTCCAAATATGTACAGGGCTGCGGTATGATACTTGTGTTCTGTTCATAGTTTAAAAAGAGCATCAAGAAAAACTGTTTTCTAAGCATAATGCCCCAACTGCCATTAGGCTGGTGTGGTGAATTTTTTTTTTTTTTTTTTTTTTTGAGACAGAATCTCGTTCTGTCACACAGACTGGAGTGCAATGGCACAGTCTCAGCTCACAGGAACCTCTGCGTCCTGGGTTCAAGCAGTTCTGCATAAGCCTCCTGAGTAGCTGGGATTACAAGTGTGCACCACCATGCCTGGGTTTCACCATGTTGGTCAGGCTGGTTTCAAACTTCTGACCTCATGATTCACCCGCCTCAATCTAACATTTGACAATCATGACATTTGATGTAAAAATCCTGATGGGCCTCTTGGGAAGGAGCGATTCTGGCCTTGCAGGTCTGCAAAGTGACCCCTGCACGCCACAGTCTCTGCCGCTCTCTACCACCCACTGAACCCACACCACCTCCTGCCACTGCCTGCCTGGTCCCTGTAGGCCCTGGAATAGATGTCCCTGAGGAAGCATGGAATGGGACGATGCTGTGACAAGCTAGGAGACCTAGACTCCAGGACGAGCTCCCTCCAACATCCTAAAGTGGGTGACCCTCAGCCAAGCACTAACAACCATTAACCATAAGTCAATCATTAACAGTGAACAGCAACCTTCCACCTCTATGAAGTGAGAATAGTCAGATCTACTCCCCTCACAAGGCTGTTCTGAGAATTAAATGTGCTAAGGTGTCGGGAAATCTTGTGGCCCTGTTCTAAGGCCTGCCCTCTGCTGTGGCTCTGCTCTAGAGCATTTCTGGAGGCAGAGATCTCTGGTGCCTGGCAATGAAACTGCTTCTGCAGACTGAACGCTGGGCCAGGGATTCAGAAGCAGATCACCTGATGGACACCATTCATCACAAATGCATTCATTCAGCTCATCCAGGAAACACAGCTGTGAGACGACAAAGGAAGACCAGGTCCCCTCACCACTCTCAGAGGTGTATCTCAGGTCCTGGAGCGCGGCCACAGCTGCCTGTGTCCCCTGAATGTCTTCTTCCGCCTCTGTGATGTGGAGATACTGGGTGGAGGGCTCCTCAGGAGCTTCTGTTGCTGCCTAAATAAAAACATAACACCTAAGTCTTCTCCTAAAAGATCAACTATTTCCCAGAAGTTCCAAGATAATGTATTAAGACAGAACAAATGCACACAAGAAAGCAATACACTGTGACATCTTGTTTACCTGGTACCCCTGAGAAACCAGTTGCTCCCATAATTATACTTTTGAAAGAGAAAACTTACCTTTGTGAGGACCAAGACCTTTAAAAACCAGCTTTGGTAAAAAGCCTCTGCTGTACATTTTTTGTGGTGAGAAACAGAGCATGTATGTTGTTCACAATTAGCTCAGATATTCTTGCATACAACTCTTCTAACGGCTTCTCTGTTTCCTCCCAAGGTGACCAACACTACCTCTAATCTGCACCTTACCCTGGGGACTGGTGCCATGTGGCCAATGGAGGAAGGGGCACAGCCACCGGGCAGCTGATGGTGGAAGGGTTAGGGGAGGTGATTACACAGAGGAAGGGACATAACCACAGGGCAGCCATGGTGGACAGGGTAGGGCAGGTGATTACACAGAGGAAGAGGGACAGCCACGGGACAGATGATGGTGGTCGGGTAGGGGGTAGGGTGGGTGATTACACAGAGGAAGGGACACAGCCATGGGGCAGCTGATGGTGGACAGGGTAGGGTGGTGATTACACAGAGGAAGAGGGACAGCCATGGGGCAGCTGATGGTGGATGGGGTAGGGAGGGTGATTACACAGAGGAAGAGGAGCAGCTGATGGTGGATGGGGTAGGGCGGGTGATTACACAGAGGAAGAGGGACAGCCATGGGGCAGCTGATGGTGGATGGGGTAGGGAGGGTGATCACACAGAGTAAGAGGAGCAGCTAATGGTGGATGGGGTAGGGCGGGTGATTACACAGAGGAAGAGGAGCAGGTAATGGTGGATGGGGTAGGGCGGGTGATTACACAGAGGAAGAGGGACAGCCATGGGGCAGCTGATGGTGGATGGGGTAGGGAGGGTGATTACACAGAGGAAGAGGAGCAGCTAATGGTGGATGGGGTAGGGCCGGTGATTACACAGAGGAAGGGGCACAGCCACACGGCAGCTGATGGTGGAAGCGAAAGGACCAGTGATGGCACAGCACGTGGGAAGCACAGGTTCTGGCAGAGTAAGAGTTCGGCAAATCTTAGCTATGTGTGCCATTCTTATCCTTCCATGAAGGTAAGAAACAAAACTGACTACAAGAAATATATTTGCACAAAATCAGGACTTGTGAGAGGAGGAGGAGGAGTTAAAGTGGCGTTCAGGCCAGGCGCGGTGGCTCAAGCCTGTAATCCCAGCACTTTGGGAGGCCGAGGGGGAGTGGATCACGAGGTCAAGAGATCGAGACCATCCTGGTCAACATGGTGAAACCCCGTCTCTACTCAAAATACAAAAAATTAGCTGGGCATGGTGGTGCGTGCCTGTAATACCAGCTACTCAGGAGGCTGAGGCAGGAGAATTGCCTGAACCCAGGAGGCGGAGGTTGCGGTGAGCTGAGATCGCGCCATTGCACTCCAACCTGGATAACAAGAGCGAAACTCTGTCTCAAAAAAAAAAAAAAGTGGCATTCACAGGTACCACGTGCCTCAAGGAGAGAAGAGGTGGAACAGAAATTTTACAGTACATGTTAATAATTATCTCTTTCTGGACAGAGTGGAGAGTGCAAGCAAAACTTTAATGCCAGATGCATGAATGTCACCAATGAAGAAGAACAAAAAGGACTTCTGACAGAATTTACAGGAGTCAAGTTATGCTCAATAAGCACAGATCAGTAAATTACATAGAGGTTCGGAATACCATGTAATATTCCTTCACAGCCAACTGGCCAAGTCCACTTAGGTGTTTCCATCCCGACATACAGTAGACACCCCCAAAATATTAAATGAATGCATAAATGAACAAAAAGAAGAACATTTTGTTCTCAGTACCATGAGACAACAGATTGGCCGACAGTAGATTCAGGCAATGCCTTAGCTTGTGAAAGGACAGGATGCAAGCTGAAAGGTTTCTCCTCATTCTGGGGAAAGCATGCAGTAATTGCTGTCAGGAAGGGTGGTGCTCTTTGCAAGGCATTCCTGGGAGCCAGGTGGCACACACAGTTTCCTGGCTGCTCACCGTCTCATGTGTGGAGTCCACTACCTGGCCTTATGTCAACTATTTCTGTTGGGTTACAGCTCTGCATAAGGTGCTAGAATCTGCTGGAAGCAAGGTCTTCAGGGGAGACGGGCATTACTGCATGCATTTATAAAAGCACCGACTGACAAGATGGACTGAGTTTTACACTGGTAATTGACATTCGAATGTCTATTTTGTTAATGAAGAGTAAATTCTTCCAGTATATATTAATAATTGAAACAGTAGATGACTTTTAGCATAGATGAAGATGTAAAAGTGACCATCATCAACATCCACAATAATCACAGCAGCTGCCATCTTCTCAAGGCCTCCAGGGGACTGGTTCAGACCTCAGCATTTTACATATGGTTTTTCTCAGTGCTTCTGAGCACTCAAGGATTATTAGCCTTCTGTACAGATGAGAACACTGAGCCATGGGGGTTAAACAATGCCTTGAGGGCAAGCAGTTTATAGGTGACAGAGGGTTCAAAGGGCTCCAAACTTCTTACTTAAAAAAAAGATAAAAAAATTTTAAACACACAAAAGAAGACAGTTTGATCTAATAAATTCCACGTATCCATTAACCAGTTTCAGCAATGATCAATCATGGTCAGTCTTTCTTGGCCTATGTTCCCACGCACTCTATGCCCTGCCCTGGGATTACTCTGAAGCAAATCCTGAAATCATTATTTCCCCTATAAATATTTCACAGTGTATCTCTAAAAAATAAAACTCATCCAAAAGAGAACTACAGTGCTCCTGTCGCACTTAAAAACTTCACAATAAATCCTTAATATTATCAGTGATCTAGATAATGTTTAGATTTCCCCAATTATCTCATATTTTAGGTTTGTTCAAATCAAATCTAAACAAGGTTCACACATTAGAACTGATTAACATGTCTCATAAGACTTAAAACCCATAAGCTCTTCCTCCATTTCTGGCGTTTTTCCCCTTGTAGTTTATTTGTTGAAGACAGCAGGGTGTTTGCCTTACACAGCTGTCAGCAATCTAACTTTCACTGATTGCATCCCCATGGAATTGACCAACATTCCTCCGTCCACAGCCTTTTTGGTAAACTGGTCACTGGATATAAATAATAAAGCTTAATTAAATTCAGGTTTCCTTTTTGCTTCATGAGTTTTACCGGGCAGTTCTTTCAGGAGACACACTTTGGACAGTGGACTCTTTAATGTAATATCAGCAGTAACTGATGATCATTGCTAAATCCATGACATCATGAGAAGGTTGCAACATGGTAATATTCTAATTTTTCTTGTGTTAGTTGAAATAGTTCGAAAGAAAAACCTTCCCCTCATCAAATGTTTGGTTATGTTTACATAGGGTTTATTTATTTATTTATTTTTTAAAGGTATTATAGGGCTGGGTGTGGTGGTTCATGCTTGTATTCCCAGTATTTTGGGAAGCCAGGGTGGGAAGATCACTTGAGGCCAGGAGTTTGAGACCAGCTTAGGCAACAAAGAGAAATCTTGTCTCTATTATAAAAAATTTCAAAAAATAAGCCAGGCATAGTGGTGCCTGCCTATAGTCCTGTCTACTTGAAAGATAGTAGACAGGACTACTGTCTCCTGAGGTAAAAGAACTGCTTGAGCCCAGGAGTTCGAGGTTGCAGTAGGCTATGAAGGGAGGCTCCATAGCGTGCCAGGCTGGGTAGCCAGATCCTAGCTGTCAAAAAATTAAAAAATAAAGGTAGGACAATTGTTTAATTCTTGGTCTTAATTTACCAGTTTTCTTTTTTTTTTTTTTAATTGTGCTTTAGGTTCTGGGGTACATGTGAAGAACATGCAGGATTGTTGCATAGGTACACACTTGGCAATGCGGTTTGCTGCCTCCATACCCCATCACCTACATCTGGCATTTCTCTCGTTATCCCTCCCTGACCTCCTCACTCCCTCACTGTCCCTCCATTGGCCCCCCACAACAGACCCCAGTGTGTGATGCTCCCCTCTCTGTGTCCATGTGTTCTCATTGTTCAACACTCGCCTATGAGAACATGCGGTGTTTGATTTTCTGTTCTTGTGTCAGTTTGCTGAGAATGATAGTTTCCAGATTCATCCATGTCCCTACAAAAGACATGAACTCATCATTTTTTACAGTTGCATAGTATTCCGTGGTGTATATGTGCCACATTTTCCCTGTCCAGTCTATCATCGATGGGCATTTGGGTTGGTTCCAGGTCTTTGCTATTGGAAACAGTGAGTGACTCTATGAACATACGTGTGCATGTATCTTTATAACAGAATGATTTATAATCCTTTGGGTATATACCCAGCAATGGGATTGCTGGGTCAAATATAATTTCTATTCCTAGGTCCTTGAGGAAGCTCCACACTGTCTTCCACAATGGTTGAACTAATTTATAGTCGCCAACAGTGTAAAAGTGTTCCTATATCTCCACATCCTCTCCAGCATCTGTCGTCTCCAGATTCTTTAATGATTGCCATTCTAAGTGGTGAGAGGTGGTATCTTAATGTAGTTTTGATTTACATTTCTCTAATAATCAGCGATGATGAGCATTTTTTTCATATGATTTTTGGCCTCATATATGTCTTATTTTGAGTGTCTGTTCATATCCTTCTCCCACTTTTGGATGGGTTTGTTTTCTTTCTTGGATTCTGGATATTAGTGCTTTGTCAGATGGGAAGATTGCAAAAATTTTTTCCCATTCTGTTGGTTGCCAGTTTATGCTAATGATTGTTTCTTTTGCTGTACAGAAGCTCTGGAGTTTAATTAGGTCCCATTTGTCTATTCTGTCTATTGTTGCCAATGCTTCTGGTGTTTTAGTCATGAAGTCCTTGCCTATGCCGATGTCCTTCAAAACAAAGAGTTGTTTCTCTAACATTCTACAAAGGTGACTGAATTGTTTTTTCCAAATATCATTATAAACTTACAGAATGAAATATATTTTATGTGTTTCACTGTCATTATTAAACACTAGGAACAGCCTCAGAATCACAATATCATCCCTACTACCAACAATAGAATACTTGAAAACTGCAGCTTTTGTTTTGCCCTTAGGTTACATCCTAATCAAATAACTGTTTTGAAGTCTCTTGAAATTGTTCCTCTCTATGTAGTTATGTCACCAATTTGATATACAGTTAGAATCATTTATTTCATTTTACTCGCAATGTTTAAGACTTGCTTTTAAGTTTGTTTTTATTATTATATAAAATACTTTTACAATATTTTATATAATCAGAGTCAAATCTACACAGCAGGGTATGTTGAGCAGTTAGGCAGAGAACAAGAATAGGGGTATCCCTTCCATCTTGTTCTTTGCCTCCTTTCCCTAAATAAAATGACCCCATTTCTAATTTTTTGTAACTACTTTACTTTGAAATAATTTTAGACTTACACAAGAGTTCCAAAGTCATAAAGAGCTGCAACAGAGAGTTCCTGCAGACCCTTTACCCAACCTCCCCTAATCTTAACATCTTTTGTAATCATGGCACAATGATCAAAACAAGAAATTAACATTGGGACACTATTACTAATTAAACAATAGTCTTTATCCAGATTCCTCCAGTTTTCTCATCAATGTCTTTTCTCTGTTTCAGGATCCAATCCTGCATGGCACAGCGCATTTAGCCATCATGCCTCCACTGTCTCCTCTTGTCTGTGAAAGTTTCTCAGACTTTCCTTATCTTTCACGACCTTGACACTTTTGAGAACTATAGATGAGGTATTAGACCTCACATTCATTTAGATTTGTCCGATGGTTTCTGATAATTAGACTGAGGTTGAAGATTTTAGTTAAGAATACGATGAGATGAAGCATCTTCTCATCTGATAACATTGTATCAGGCATTGTGTCAGGTGACACATGATGTCAGCATGCTTCATTACTGATGACGCCAACCTCTATCGCTTGGTGAAGGTAATGCCTCCACTGTAAAGTTCTTATTTTTGCCTTTTGTAATTCACAAATATTTGGAAGGAGTTTATGTGAATATCCCAGCGAAATGAGGTTCCTTCTGGCTGTGTCCTTATGCTGACTTGGAACTTCTTCCTCCAACAGTGACAAATTTGGCTTCTGCTATCTATAGTATATTTACTTATTTGTTGTTCATTCATACTATACACACAAAGTGTGAGCGACACATTACTAACTAGATCACAACACTTACCTACGGTTCTTTTTGTCTTTAGCCTCAGAGTGTCTGGTAAAAACATTGTACTCTAAAGTTACTGAGTTCAGCTCTTCTCTTCCCCAACCACTTCACTGTAAATATGTCATTCATCTGCCATATATACTCTTCTTTTAAGTTTTAAATTTATCCTTCAACTTTAAATATATATATATATATATATACACATACACACCACGCACACACACACACACACACACACACAAAAGCACACATGCACACACTTTTCTTCACCGCTTTTTTTCACATAACATCTGCAGTGTAATTGTGCCATAAGATACTCACTGAACTTCTAGTTAATGGACACTGGGCTGTTTCCAGCCACATGCTATTAACAATAGTGCCGCAATGACCACCCTTAAGCAGATACCTTTTCTCATTTTTCCTAATGAAACTTTGGAATGGTTTCCTAACAGTGGGATTATTTAGTTAATAGATAAAGAAATTCATATGTAATTTTGTTACATATTGCTAGTCCCTTCATAGGGCTGGGCCATTTTACATTCCTACCAGCAACTTATGGGAGCAGATTTCCCCACAGCCTTTCCAGCAGAAATATCAAACTTTTGGATTTCTGTCAAGCTAGATGTTGAGAAAGCCCATTCCAGGCTAATTTTAATGAACGCTTATTTCCTTATGTGAGGCTGATCATGTTTTCAGATCTTCAAAGTCATTTACAAGTCCTTTTCCCTGAACCTTTCTTATCTCTCGCCCATTTTTCTAATGGGTTGTTGAGCTTTCTCATCACTATCTTTTATAGGCCTTTTATAAAAATATTAATTTTTTTTCTACGATATGACTGAAAATGTTCTTATCATTTATCTTTTTATTTGTGTATGAGTTCTTTTCAGTAAAACTTTTAAAGTTTTTCTATGCAGTCAATTTTTTAAAAAACTTTTTCCTTATTGAGTCTGGATTTTGAATCATAGTTACAAAGGTTCTCCACACTCTCAGTTTATAGATGAATTCACTTTTGTTTTCTCCTAGTATTTGTAAAATATCACTGTTTTTACATTTAAATATTTGATCCTTTTGAAATTTGTCTCATATAACTTTATATAAGTTATAATACACAGATTCAATTTTATCTTTTTTCAGATAGCTATTTAGTGTTCCTATGTCACTTATCAAAAAGCTCACCTTTCTCCTACCAACTAGAGACACCATCTTTAACAATACTAAATTTCCACATACCACTGGGTCTATTCTAAATTTTCCGTTCTGTTTCATTAGACCATCTATTCATGCATACTGTCTTAGTTATAGAGATTTCATAATATGTTTTAATATCTGGTAGGATTCTCCTCTTACGGTTGTTATTCCCAAGGGTTTCCTAGCTAATTGTACTTAGTCTTCCAAATGAACTTTAGAAATCAACTTGATTAGCTCCAGAAAAAAAATCTAATGGTATTTAGATTATATGTAATATGTAATAGATCATATTACACTGAAAAAATATTGTGTAAATTACCCTCAGGGGAATTAACATCTTTATGATATTGAGTATTCCCAGGTTTATGTCTCTCTCAGGAATGTTTATAGTTTCCCATATTTACATTTTGGACATTTTTTATAAAATTTATGCCTAGATTTATCTTGGTTTTGTTTCCTGTATCAAATAGGGATTTTGTTTCCACTGTAACTGATTTATATATGTATATATGTGTGCATACATAAGCATATAAATATTCTTATATATACACATGTGTATACACAATTATATGTGCAGGTATATATGTATCTATGCTACTAACTGCTGTATGCTGACCTTTTAATCTGCTGCTCTTTGTATTAGCTTTTCATTCATTCTTTTAGATATTCTGAAAATATCTTCCCATTATATGCATATAGAGATACTTTTATTTCTTTCCTTCCAGTTCTAGGTCTCCATCTGCTTTGCCTGGTCTAGCCACACTGATTGATGCCTTCACGTGCTGTCAAAGAACAGCAGAGCCACCGGGCACCTTTGTCTGCTTCTGACTTTTAGTGCAAACACTCTAGTGTTTCTCAATGAAGTAAGATGCTGGTAAGAAATGGGCGACACAATTTTTTTCATTGGGTGACACAATTTTTTTTTTCATCTTCAGGATGCATCCATCAAATTCTATTTACTCTTTTCCTGCAGTGAACACTGAATTTTGTCAGATGCCTTTTCTGCACCTATGAAGGTGACTGTTTCATATTATAATGGACTACGTTAACATGTTATCTTCCACTGAGACCACCTTTCCCTTGCATTCCAGAATAATCCCCACATGTCATGATGTATTATTTTTTTTAGTGTTGTGGATTCTGTTTAAAAGCCTTCTCCTAACGCCTGGATGCTCTGTCCTTAGATAAACTGAGGGTGATTTTTACCTCCAGGAAACACTGAACACTGGCAATGTAATGGAGACATTTTTGGACATCTCAATAGGTGACTGGGTTGGCAGGGGGGTGATGCTACTAGTAACTAGTGAGAAGAGGCCAGAAATGCAGCTAAACAGCCTGTAGGGCACAGAACAGCCCTCTGCAACAAAGAATGGTCCAGACCAAAATGAAAACCTGTTTTAGGTAACTGCAGTTAGTCTGGGGAGGTGATACCTAGTATCTAAAAAGAGAGATGGCCATTGGCTCTTGTAATAAAGATGTCTTTTCAGCCAGGTGACTGGTTCCAACTCCTAAGGAAAAACAACAAAGATGGCAAATAGTAGCATGAACCTTCCACAGAAGGAGAGCAAGACCTAGAATCAGGAAATGGAGCTTTTTCCAATTCTCTCGGTGAGGATGACAATACAATAGAATCCCTGCCTTCCATTCTTTCAGATGCAACATCTGAAACTTGGGATTTCTGATTCATGTAAGTAGAAGTCTCCAGGAGGCCAATACAAACTTTCACAAAAGAGTCTAATTCAACCCAGCACAAGAATTCACAGGCTTGGCCCAGACCTTACCTAGTTATACCCTTCAGACATGAGACATAATGTGAAAATGTTTCACAAGTTTCCCCACCAGAAAATGCAATGTTCTGAGGAATGACTGTCTGTACCTAGTATTTGGGCTTGCCTGGCTTGTCATTTGTTTTAGAAATGTCAAGATTAATACTATACTTAAAAAAAAATTACCTCCCACTTGGGGTCTCCATCAATTTCCACCACCTTCAAGCCATGTTTGTTCTTCAAGTGCCTATTGAACTCCCATTTGGTGCCATATACAAAGCTGCAAACAGGACACTTCAAACCACCTGAAAGCAGACAGAGGTTTAAAAAAAAAGTGTTCATAATACATAAAAATGCAACAGTTCCCCCTTTGGTCCAAATGCCTAAAATCTAGTAAGCATTATTTTGTCTCCAGCACTTATATTCAAGCCAGGCTTACCTTAGTATTGGAACACAATAGCCACAGTGTGTATGTTTTTCAAGGCGGAGATTTTAAAACTTAATATACTTTCTTATTTGTTGAATAAGTCTTTGCAGTCATCATAATATGTGCCTAACAGTCTAAATGCCAGAGAGAACTAAGATGAGTAATATAATTCCCTTTGCCAGTGGGTAAGTAGCTTAAATCATTCTCTCATTTTTTCACTTGTAAATAACAAATAATTTAGAACACAAGAACAACAGAAGGGGAGTGTCTGCTTTTCTTAATCTCCTTTGTGCCAAAATACTAAGATCAGGAGCCAGATTCTCAGTCTCCTTCACGTCAGATCTAAGTCACTGGCATAAATTCCCAGGCGAATTTCCCAGTAAAAAATAAATTAAAAAGCTGGTCACATCCTGAAATGTCATTATTTATTGAACTGATTAAATTTTGCACATATTCCAGGAAGTGTTTAGATGCTTTAATTAAGAGAATGTACAACTCTAGGTTTAAAAAAACCCAAACTGGAGAGTCACACAAAAGAATATCTTTCTACAATTACATCAGAAGCGGCAACTAAATTGCAGCCGGGACAAAAGTCTCTTTGAACAAATTGTGCCTTTCAGAAGCAAACTCCAGCCTCGGGAGACTAAGGGTAGTGCTGGTACCAGGCTTCTAGCCTACCGGTCTGAGCCAGGCTGGCTGCTGTCACCACCAGCCCTCCGCCTTGAGCTGGACCAGGGAAAGGAGCCCTCTCACCAACATCCCCAACGCCACAGCTGCCTGGTACTGTGAGCTACCCTATTCCAGCAGGTCACTCTCTAGTTGCAAGCTCTGGCCTCCCATCCTCCTCTGCCGTGTCTTCTCTGTGGCCTGCATGGTCTCTCCTTCATGCCAATGCTTCCACAGCCATCCTGGAATCTCAGATCTCCTGGACAACAAAATCCCCAACATTCACCTTGTCAGAGAGCGCACTCCTTCCCTCTCCATCTTTGACTACGCTCTCCGCTAAGTCCTCTCAGGTGGAAGCTGCTCATGCTCTTAAGCCCCAAGTAATGAGGAGGCCAGGCCTGGGCAGGGCAGCAACAGTACCTCCACAGTAGAAGAGGACCATTTCCCTGTCCTGTCCCTCCTACCCACAGTGCCAGACCCATCAGACAATTTGGCAACTGACCCTCTCCACTTAAATACTGTAATATCCTTCGACTGCAAGGCCAAGAACCTTCCCTACCATTTCACCATCTATGGAGTTTCACTCAGTCATCCGTATGATTATTCGGCACCACCCTTGGGGCTAAATCCAAGCATTCCACTCTGATGACTATTGGTCCTCTGGCCCTCTCTTATTCTCACCACCATTATTCTTCCATTTCTGGAGGATCTCCAGTTTGCATCCTCTCCCATTTTATCTCAACCCACCCCTAACTCTGCTCCTCTCTCCAGAAAGCACACTCCAGAGCCTGAAACTTAACAACTTTCATTGACAAAGCCCTCCATGTCCCCAGCCACTTATCTTTCTCTTGAACCTGCCTGGCAAACCCAGAGCCCAGCATCAATCCAAGCCCCAGTCCTCCTTGTTCTGATCCTGGGATGCTGAGGCAAAGCACAAAGCCATATTTATTCTTATGGCCATACTTCCAATTCAAGTATTCCCCAGTCAATTCTGACCAATCAGCCAGAAGAGGAACTGCAATTCTCCATCCCATCCATCTCATGAAGTCTCCTACATTATTGTCGACTTCCTCTTTCAATCACAGCCTCAGTTCTTGTCTCCTGCTTCATAATGAAAATATCAGGTAAGAACTTTCCCGACCTTCTTGTACTATAAAACTCTGTCCTTCTACACCTCCCTATGCTGGGCCTGATGCCAGCTGTGGGTTAGAGTTCCCCGCTGCCTTCCAAGACCCCTTTCCCCTCCTTCTACAGTACCGATCCTCAGCCCTGTTAGACTCAATGCCCCTTTCTAAAACAAGCTGTTTAAGATTCCTCCAACATCCTGAAGTTTTTTCAAAGCCCTTCAAGTTTTGAAACCTTGCATGGGTGCAAACACCACTCCACTAAACACCCTGTTCCTCTGGCCTCCATGATCACACACCTTTCTGCTTTCCCTGTCCCATGGTTGAGCCTCCTCCTCTGTCCTGTGTCCCCTAGGCAGGGTATCCAGACATTCTTGAGGCTCTTCCTCCTGCCCAGGACACATATTATCCACAAACTGATGACCTTGCTATTTTTGTTCCTCCAGCCCAGACTCCCATCCTGAGCTCCAGCCTGGGATGCGTCCCCGCAGGTGGACAGGACTGCACATCCCGGTGCCTCCCCCGCCTCCTGGACGAGCCACTGCAGTCTCATGCACAGATGGGAGCAACCAGCTCCTAACTGCTCTCCTAGAGCCACTGTCTGTTCTCCACTGCTGGTCTGCTTCCCATCAAGCACACAACATGGTCTTCTGAAAACACAGACTAGATCACTGTGTCAGAGGTATACACCCTTCCAGTGGTCTTCTGTCTCACCTACAATACAATCCTGACTCCTCCCTGTGGCTTGCAGGTCCTGCCTCCCTCTTTCTCTCCCTCATTCTCTCCCTTTTCTTTCTTTTGCACTGACCAAGTTCATTCCCTTACTGGGACACCTGCTGTGCCTCCTCAATCACAAAAGCTTCCCCAAGTTCTCCATTTGACCTTCGCATCCTCTTTAAGCACCACCTCTTCAAAGAGGCCCTCCTGGGACTCCTAGCCCCACTAAACATACAGAGCCATCAAAACTCCCTAACAGATTTCCCTACTGGCATTAAATTGTCAGTCTGACATTGTATTATTATCTTTCCTACACATCTTCATTGTACTTTCTCTCTTCTAAAGTGGCACCTTTTTAGAGTGTGGACTTGAGGGGCATCATCCACTTACTCACTGTTCAAGTCCCAGCAACTAGCATCTAGCTTCTCCTCAATTGTTACATCTTGCCTCACTGACTCTGAGTCTTGGCAAATCCTCTTCTTTCTTTTGCTCCTTCTCCAACCATCCCCCTGCTTTCCTCAGACTTCTGCACCTTCCCTCTGTCCATCTGTCCCCTCAGCAAGTATGTTTGGTGTTATCCAAGGGACTGCCTGAGTGCTGCCCTGTCTTCTCCTTTCCTTCATAGCCAGGACTCTGTGGAGTCTCCACGTCCAAGAACTCACCAGAAAGAGATGCTGAGTGATGCCTGAGGTAGACAACAGACTGGGATGCAAATGGAAGAAGGCAGCATTCATGTCTCCTCCATCTTTCAAATTTTATTCCTTGAGGGAGTAACTGCCCTATTCAAAATAATTACTGAAATGAAGATTACAAATCTAAACTAGAAAAATAAAATGAAGTCATCACTTCCTTGTCTCTCTTCATTACTTAGGCCAGTGGTTCTAAACTATGGGTGATTTTCCTCACAGGCAATGTATGAAGGAACTTTTGGTTTTAAAACTGGCGGGTGCCCAGGACATCCAGTGGGCAGAGGCCAAAGATGCTGCTAAACACCTTACGACACACAAAACAGCCCCTAAAACAAACACTGGCCTGGCCCTGATTGTGAGCAGGGCTGAGGTTGAGAAGCCCTGCCTCACACCATAGCATGCTGCTTCCTGTGCTCAGTCCTCTCCTGGCATTCCACATGTCAAGATCAGCTAACATCCTCAATCCAATGAATATTCTCCACTCCATCTTATTACTAGTACACCAACAGCACTACTAATAACAATAACAACATAGGTTTTCCACTAACTGGGCAGTTATCATGCATCAGGCACCTCATACATCAAGTTGTGGTTTCTTCCCGATAGCACAATGACACAGGCACGCTTAGCTCGTTTTATACAGAGGCTTGGGATGGTGAAGTAACCCTTCTGAGGTCACACTGCAAAACTAAGAGCTGAATCTAAATCTAACTCACCTCGTTAACCCCAGGCTTTGCTACTGTCCCTTGTAACTTCTGTGCATTATATGACAATGCTGACCACATTCTCCACTCAAGATCTAGTCTTTTGGGGCTTCTGTGATACCACAGAAGTGTGATACCACTCACTCCTGGTTCTTCTACCAAGCACCTCTCCAACTCAAACCCTGTACAGCCTCTGCATCCTGTATGTGGAGTTCTAAAGCCTCACAAACACTCAGTCCCCTCTCTATCTCCAATATGCAGGTCCAGTAATGTCCCAAAGTATTCCACCTCCCCAACATATATGTGAGCTGAATGAACCACTAAGATGCTTATACTTAGGCAGCGAAAGAGCTGAGCTGACCACTCAGTGTATTTCAGGCTGCCATGTTTCTATATTGCTCATTGAGATACCTGGGAAGAAACAGAGGAATTCTGTCCTAATATCAAGGTTGTCTGGACAAATTTTATCAGATAAACATCACGGGGATGAGGCCCACATTTAATCATCTCTCAGATGCAGTTTTGATGCGCTCCATCTCCAAATTAATTACATGTCAGTGGAATCAAGAAAGAGCACTGCTCTATTATTGGGGTTCTTTTCTATCAGCTGAGATGGTGGGTGATTTTCCAAACAATCACCTTCATAGAGGCCAACCTGCCAGCTACCACGTAGCCCTCACACCTCCACTCACTGCTTCCCGTTCCCAACCCTGGTGGAGACGGAGGAGGGAACAGAGGCAGGAGGTGGCCGCCGTCAGCAGAAAGACTGGCCACGAACACCAAATTCTTAAATTCTAGAATATTCTGCAGAGAAGACAGCTCAGATGAGTGTTTGTTTTCTGAAACTCGTAAATATTGTGTTCTTTTTTTAGGCAAAGACAAATGAGCTTCTTTCTTGTCCAGAGGATAAACTTCATTTTTAACTTCCTTTGCTATTGCTTTTTTAAAATCGCATAAAATGATGTCTTTTCCTTCAAT